TGGCTGGGGAATTCTGGGAATTGAAGTCCACACATCTTAAAGTTGCCAAGGTTGAGAAATAAGGACATAAAGGGCAAGGCCATACATTAGCATGGTCTGAGATACCATTAATACTCAGTTCTTCATCTCCACCCCTGGCTGAATAGGTGGTGTGGTGGAGATACTGGTCCCTGGAGGCTGTTGGGGTCTGGATGGGGTGGAAAAAGCTTACTGAATCCTAGCTGTGCATACAGAAACATTCTATCTTCTGAGATGTACCACTTTTCATTCTGGGTAGATCTTTAATTTGAGATGGGGTGCCATATAAATTGAAATGATAGATAGCTAGATATGGGATTCAGACTTCTTTGTCGCAAAATGTCTGACATGTCGGGTGTTCTGCTGGACTCACCTCCTGGGTGATCATTTGAAGGCTCCAGGGCCCCGACAGCTTTGGTGAGGCTGCAAATTACCACTCAATTCTCTGCCTTCACACTTGGTCCCCAACTGACCCATTTTCCCAGTAAATGCAACAGACTAAGCTAATCAAATTGTCTGACCTTGCTGGGAAATCACCAAATACCCATGAAAAAAACTAACCCAATTAGCATGCGATGTGAATACAGCTTTCAATGATGCACAAGGTGAAGGGCTCCTCTGCGCCCACCCCCAAACCCATAACTGTCATTCTTATAGCTCAGCTTCACATTTCGTTGTTTTGAATTGAAATCATCTATGAAAAGAATTAAAATCTGCCTTACACAGGTCACTTGCCTCAAAATATCTGCTTTACGCAGGTCACTTCCCTCAGACAAGGCAGCTCTTGTCAATTAAACTGCAAATAATCAGAACTTGGCATCAGATCTTACCTCCTGCTGAGCCCTCGGAGGGAGCTCACAGTTCTGGACCTCCTTGTGCGCCTTTGGCTTACCGACTGTCTTTTCACATGCTGTTTTCACCACCTCCACCGTAAGATAGTATTTCACGCCTGCAACCACCTGGATTTTAAAAATAGGTACCATGATGTTTAGGTAATTACAGCAAAAAAAAAAAAACACCCCCAAACATGCTTAGCTTCATTGGCTGCAACCCGGGAAGAAGAGAATCAATCCAGCATGAGATATTTCTGTATCTGATACATACAGCAAAAGCCAAACCCTTCCGGCCCAGAATTTGCTCAGGACCCACTGTGGTCCCTCCCTCCAAGCTGCCTCCAGCCCTCCGTTCCCTCCTCCTTTCTTCCCAGAGCCCCCTCCCGAGTCCTCGGCTGCTCCAAAAGGACCCAGCGAGGCTGCCCACCCACCCGCACGCACCTGGGACTGCGCCTTCACGATGCGCAGCTCCTTGAAATAGTTGTTGTCTGTGCTGCGCGCGTTGTACTGCTCCACGGCAAAGGCGGCGGCTTTCTGCACCCCATCGTCTGTGGGGGACGCGGGGGAAAGGCCCCCGGGTACCCCCACCTCCCCTAGCAGCACCAAGGGCAGCGTCAGGAGGGCGCCGAGGAGGAAGAGCGGTGCCGGGCGAGGCAGCGGGCAGCGCGCCATGGAGGCTGGCGAGAGGG